ATTAATATACCATGTATTCATGTAAAATATATTAATTTATATTTCTTTTTACAGCTATAGACCTATGCCTAGAGCAGATTTTAGAGTTTCCCAGCCCAAGTGACAGTAGCTTCATTTCTCTTAAAGTTTGAAGAGCGATGAGAGCGAGCTTGTCTGTGAACTGCTGGTTGGTACCAAAGTGCTGGTAACTTGGATGGGACAGCAGCATGAGCGGAGGCAGGTAGCTGCAGACCATGTGACTGCCATCAGTGCACTGTGTAGGAAAGCAATATGATCCTTACAGGCAGAGCAGATGACTAGTGTAAGTAATTTGAAAGTTTATATTCTTTAGAAGCATCTCTTTAACTCTCACCCTTGTGAGAACATGGCAAATGCACAGTTAAAGTTGTTATGCAAATGGGGATGCCAAGTGTGCACCATGCCACTCATAGCAATAAGCAGGCGTTAGCTCAGATCCATAACTACATCAGAGTAAAGAGCACCTGATATTAGTAGCACAAAAATAAATTGCACTTCTGCTTTTTCCATCAATTGGATTAGCATGTGGCTAACCTTTGGCAAGAAATTAACTTCCCAGAGACTCCTGAATTCACAAAGACACATCAGGTACCTTTTTTTTCTCTCTTTTTTTTTTTTTAAATAATGAGATTCATTGTTTTCAAAAGCAATGATTATACAGAAAACTAATAAAACAAACTCTGAAGCCATACGCAAGTTTATTGTATTATGTGTCTATTATTGTTTAGCTTGGGTTTAACTAACACAGTAGGGGAAAAAAAGTGTTTCAAGTGTACATCCTTTAAAGAATTACACAAATGTGGTACTTTTAGGCAATCAAATCCAATTTGATTGCCCTGCCTTGTAATTTGTGATTTCCCTGCCCCTGATTCTCAGCTCCATTAAGTTGGTGGAAAACCTGTAAGTCTCAGGGAGCTTTGGCTCATGTTCCTGAAGGTTGGACAACTCTGGACTGGTAAAAGCTTGATCTTGCCTCACGCCAGAGTGATGCTGCTAGTGCAGGGGACATCCACGGAGGCCTGAGCAGCAGCAATGCACAGTCTCTCTGCAGAAGGACAGCCTGTTCTCACCTGCTGCAGTTACTCAGGGTTTTGCCAGCTCCCAAATGCCTCCTAACAGGTTGTGGTTTGTGTAGCTGAAAGGTAATGTTGGGTCAGACAACATTTAACAGTCAGAGCAACACTATTGCCACAGTCAACAAAACTGGGTTTGCCCTGCGGTGCGTGTTAGCAGCTCCTAATATCAATCTTTGAGTACGTAGGTTTGTAGGATGTAATTTGTCAGGATGTGCTAAAACAATTAGTTTTCGCTTCACTTAACATATCTGAATTTGCAGCTTAAGCTACAGAGAAAGCTTGGCCATTCCCCTGTTCGAGTTGTTGAACCTGTAACAATAACTATGGCCTGAGTTATAAGTAAACAGCTAATTCATGCCCTGAAACACAAAACTATCTCCATGGCTTGCTTTTTTTTTTTCTGCTGCAAAAACCTGCAAGGTCTCCTCTTCCAATTCTCTGCTTCTCTCTTTTACCTGTTTGATTTTCTAACTTTTGGAAAAAAAGTCTTAGAGCAGTGCTGAACACCCTGGAGCATCAGGGTGTTGCGTACTGTCTCCAGAGAGCACAGATCACCTCAGCATAGATGCACTTTCCTATGGGCTTTGGCTGTCCCTGTCCCTCGCACACTGGCAGCAGAACAGCATTTGAGACACCAATGAGCTCAACATAGCTTTCCTTGGGACTATTTGTAGCATTGCTGCTGATATCGTGGGGAAAAAAAACCTACCCAAAACCAAGAAAAAAGCTTTAGCAATCCAAAGAGCCCAAATGCTAGATCAGGACTTCTACTTTTGAGAGCTCCCAGCAAGAACACTTATTGCAAATGTCACTATGATACAACAGATAATGTCACTGTTCCTAGCCCTACGGAAGCCCCTAAGTCAACTTTTATGTGCCCAGCATGGCTGGGCATGGTGGCGTGCAGGCGAGGAGAGCCAGGGCTTGGGTAGGGTTGTCTATAAGCTTCTCTCTTTGGGTAGGGTTGTCCTCTCAATTTTATTTTTCCCTACAGACTAGGGCCTTGCTCCTGAAACGACACGTGCAGGCAGACTGTGAGGGCTGCCCACGGAGCCGCCGACTCAGGCATAGATACACCCAAACAATGATCCCGTCAGGATGGGTCTTGGGCAGCACCAGGGTGGGTCACACTCAACCCTGCTGTGGGAACGGGACTGTTCAAGAGGACATCCAGCAACGGTGTCCCTGGGCACAGCAGTTTTGCCTCTTTGAAGACCAAAGAAATAAGCTTTTATTGTTGTTTAAATGTCGTCATCTCTGGATTGTGTAGCCACAATTACCCTGTGTGACTGATTTCATTCTTCTCTAAGCCCATTAGTTCCAAGGATCTCATTAGGCAAGCAGAGACTCACTTGCCTCCCCTCATATGGCCTTTACCATACCACAGTCGGGGCTTATAAAAGTTGCAATGAGGCAATGTTGTGCTGGATAATACCTCATGCAAAACAGATGGCTCAACAACATCGTTGTTCATACCAGGCTCTGAGTTATCTAGAGCAACGTAACTAATGATGTTGCAGGCTTTCAATCTAAATGATTTGTTTAACTGGTAATATTCTATTTAAAATAATTCTCAAAAAAAATAGAGCAATAATCATAGACATAGCAAAATCCAATAACAAATCAAAGCTGCTAGTTAAATAATTAATTAGCTTACAACACCAAGTACCATCACAACAGAGCTCCTCCTGAGCCTGGTAAGACATTTCAATTGGAAGTGGCATGGTTTTGAAGTTCTTTTCAAATCCAAAAAGAAAAGCTTCATTCTAATCTCCCAGGGAGTTTAAAAAGTTCACAATTTTGAGCTTTAGTCTCAAAAGAAAAATCTCCATTCAGGCTGAGAAATTTAGCTCATTTGATGTTGAAGCATTTATTGCATTTTAAATTGAGGTTTCTGGATGGGACAAAGATGAACAAATACCAGGAGTTTAGAAACAGATGGAGATTTTGTTTAGTCTTTTCTTTTTTCTTTCTTTTTTGTGATGCCCACTTTTGTGACATAAATAATAATAAAGCTTGCAAAGTCCCGGAACTTCTTTCCAATTGATGTGGGTTTTGCTTCACCTCTAATTAAAACTTGGAACAATAGTTTCCCACTTAGCATGACACAGAGTAACTTTCTTCTAAAATCAATATTTTCAGATGTTAGACGATAAAAATCACTCTGAGATCAACACTTTGTGTGGTGAATTAATTAGCAGAAAAGCAAATGAATGTACTTCTGTAGTAGAAATCAATATTCTTGAGAATGAAAAGGTCTCTCTTGCCACCAACTCACTTTCATGGGTGTAGCTAACAATGTGAAATATCAACATACAAGAAAAATACCATCTCCTCTCTTCTACTAGGCACTGGTGGTATATCCAGTACCTGCCTTGGTGCTCATTGTACACTCTTGAGAGTAAAACAGCTTACATTACCCAGTAAAGGAAATAAAATGCAATGGCATCAAGAAACAGCTAGTCTAATACCTAAATACTCACACACATACATATATATCTGTATTATTTGTCTTTGCTCTGCAACAGCAATTTTTTTCTAGCAGCTGTAAATTTAACTTGGCACTGGGACTGGTTAAATAGAAAATGGAATAAATGACCATATTTTTTATCAGAAAAGTATTAATGGCAGTGCAGGGAACTTGAAAAAGGGCTGAGGGTAAAACTATCTTCTCACACAGGAATGGACATTGGCCTGGGTGAAGCACAGCCCTTCCTCACTGCCCTGGGCTGGTAGGACAGCACTGGGGATGGTTGTGGCTGCAGATGGCATGAAGGAAGAGCAGGGCTTTGGTTTACTCCTACCTAGACTTGCTTATTCAAAGATTCAAACTTGTGACAGGATCTTACTGACTCTCCTTGTCCTCATGTAAGAAAAATGTTGGTACAAGTTTGTTCCTGAAGAGCTCTTCAGTCCCTCTCTGAGAAAATAATTAAGAGCGAAAGCCCATTTGGAGAGGTCTCCACTGAGTTTCATGGGTGACATTATGGGCAGTAAATGAGGTGGCACTCCATTCAGTACTTGCACCTACTCTGGTCAATGAGTTGGTCTGCAATGGCTACTGCTTCTGTAACAGGGGCATAATAAGCAACAAAGCCTCACTGCTAATTGCTGAGGGTAGATTCTCCAAGATACAGGTTAATTCAGTTAGTCAGAGCAAACACCTTGACAAAAAAGTAACATTTACCTGGCCGCTGTTGTGAATGTGACCAGAATAACAGACAGCCTGCTGCATTTTATCCAGCTGCAGGTAGTCTCTTACTGATTCCTCCTCAGCTACTGTTTTAAAATTGACCTTGTACATGGTTTTCCCTTCGTAACTCTTTTGAACCTAAACATTAGAATTACACTCTAATTCTATAAGCTCCTACTCGTAGAGGTGGCCCTTAACACCACTGAAACCAGGGGAAATAATTTCTAAAGCAAGAAGTCATTATGTGAGATGGGGACTGGACCCATCTGTTCCCAGCAGGGACTATGGTGCCCAGGCTGGGGCAGCGGGTGCAGCCCATCACATTTCCATTTCTTGAGTTCCCTATGCTGTCCTGAGGAAACCCTGCACATTTTTTGTATCTAAAACAGGGATTACAATACCTGTTAGATGAATGTAGGCAAAGACAGAGAAGATTAATGAATCCCCTCTACATTTAAACAGTCAAATACGCAACAAAGAGTAAGTGGTGGAGCCACCTTACAGAAAATGAAAGCATTCACTGCACCAGCTCTTTATCACCTATGCAGAGCTCCAGATATGTTCCCTGCTAGGATGAACTTTGCCTCCTCATTTCCATTCTTATGGGGATGTCTCAACTTATAATCATTAATGAACTATCCCTGTCATGGTCAGGTGACTGTGCAGTCTGCATATCATTCAGACCTGCTTTTGGAAACCAGAAGTTACTGAAAATGTCGAGCAGGTATCACAAAGCAGCAGCCGACGGCAATCTGGACCTCTTGAAAGAAGCCACTAGGAAAGACCTCAATACTTCAGATGAAGATGGGATGACACCTACTCTTCTGGCAGCATACCATGGGTATCTAGAAGCTCTGGAAGTCATATGCCGGCGGGGGTAAGTCACCCAGCCTTCATTGCTTAAAGCCTGTGGCTCAAAACTATAATTAGTTCATCGTGTTTCAAATGCCTTGATGACCTCAGACCCAAAAGGCTGGAAATCCCGATCATTTATTTCAATGCATTGCCAAGAATTGTTTATCCTCTTTCACAATGGTTTAGGCCCAGAACCTGTGAGTCTGTATGTGCAGCTGGGGAAGCTGCATCAGCGTCAGCGGGACCGTCTCGTACACGGAGCCTGCAGGGAGTGGTTGGTAGGAGCAGGGTCCTGGGACCTTGACTCACTGTAACGGAGGAGAAGTTGGCCAACTTTTGATGATAGCCTATCTTTGAAACTGAGTCTATAGAGAAATGAATCATTTGAAACATTTTTTGCAAAAAATCTCTTCCATTTGCTTCCAAAGGGCATTTAGTAGACACCTGTGAAGATTTAATGCTTTCCAGAGGCAAGTCACAACTGATAGTTTTGAGACAGTAACATCTTAAATTGTTATTTCTCTGCTTTTTACAGTATTAGCAACTACCATCATGCTAAAAATGATAATACTGTTTCAGAAGCTGTGGTAGGATCCTTGTAAATCAGGGGGGAAAAAAAAAAAAAAGAAGATAAAGAAAAGCAAGGTTTTCTACAGATTTATTTTCTAATAGTAATATTTCTGTTTGGTATCATTTAAATGCATTACATGCTTATGATGTATTACTAAAATGGTAATTACCTCCTCACCTTCCGTACTGTCTTGCTTGGAGCCTACCTTTTAAGCTGTAATAAGATCTAACTAAAGAAAATCTGCTCTTCTATGGAGATACAGTTAATAAAATGTTCTTTCTGGGCTGAGATGAAAATTAAGTTAATCTATATTTTCAATCATAATAGTTTAAAGAAGATTGGAGGGAAAAGTTGAATAACTATTTGGATGTATCTGAGTTTTCTTTTATTAAAAATGGAATTGAAAATATGGAATAGGAATAGGTTTCTCATAGATTTGCTTTATAGCTCATTGAGCTCAGGTGTGGCTGTGATAATACAATAAAAAAGACCTTTGAACTGCATGGTTATTGCTATGTCCTCAGGAGAAGCAAAAAAAGATTGACAGTTTTTCAACTCCTGTAATTAAGGCAGCTCCAAGGAAATATCTAGAGCCAATAAAGGTTTGCCCCTGAATACCTAGAAAACAGAAAAACTAGCTAAGGAACAAATAACTAAACTTTTTTTTTTTTTTTTCAAAATTTGAGTGAAAAATATGTCTTCTAGCATATAAGCTGAAAGAAGTCACAGTAGATGACACAAAGATCAGAATTTCTATGTATTTGTTGTTTAATATATTTCTAACTCTTTTTCTTGGTAGAGGGCAGCTTTGGGACAGTATTGCCCTCAAAATTTTCAAACATAGGAATTCACCTCTATTTTAATCCAAGATTTCTTGACACGATCAGCACACTGTGGCTGCCAGAGATACAGCTGCAGTCTCACTGATTTTCTTGGGAGAAGCTGAATTTTGGAAGATGTTCAATATGCTCTGTTGTCAGTTAATGTTTTCTTGTGAGAAATTATTTTAATTATTTTTAACAAATTCATCCTTTCCTTGAAGGAGTTTTCTGACAAAGGCACTGAGATATAGGACGGTTTTCTTTACAGTCATTGCAGATTTTAGGACTCTCAAGCTTGCAACACATTCAGCCCTTGGAAAACATAGCAATACTAACAATAAAACCCTTTCATCTTGAAATAGTGTATCTTCCCAAGCATCAAGAGGTGTTTCCTCTGCTTGCTTTGCAGGTACATTAGTAAAGGCAAGACAAAGTAGCAGATCTGCTTTCTTTTGTGTGAGCCTCTTTCTTGGGAAAGCAGGGAAAAGAGGACTATGAGAACTGAAAGTAGATGTCAAACCTTATCCAAAGTCCCACTGAGCTGGGAACAGACACTCTAGTTTGTGAATTGTTTGATTCTCAAAGGCTGGTAGGCTCCGGGGGAAAAAGAGACCACAAACAGTATGAAGGGACCTAGGGGAGGATGGATCACCCAGCACTCCCAAGGCTCAGGATAATGCATCCTGTTTGCTAATGTGTGAATTAAGGAATCCGGCATGCTCGGCCACAGTTGGGCAGTTCCCCAGGGCAGAGCCACAAAAGCAGAAATATGTACACATGGTTTCCATATGTCTAAGTGGAGAAACTTTGATCCTCAGCTGCCACCTCCTTGTAGAAACACCCGCACCCTCGCAGCCAGGCACGCTCAGACTGGCCGTGGTTTCTCAATGTGAGCAGCTCTGTATCTCAGCTCTGCGGGGACCCCAACCTCACTCTTGCCTGTGGCATTTCAGGCTGAAGGATGTTTCCAGATGTGGCCCTCAACAGAGATGTTAGTGCTTTGCTTCAGAGACACTCAATGCCAGAGATCAATGGCCGAAGGAGATTTTGTGACAGGACGCACCATTTCAGTCATAGTACAGCTGCCATGGAACATATCTCCAAGTCACTGGAATGTTCAAACCCCCAAGAGTGGAAATTCTCCTTGTAAATTTGGCCCCTGGCTCTGACGTTATTAAAGGTTTTGAGCTACTGTGGCTGCCTCAGTTATTGGTTGCAGACAACTCAAGCTCTGTTCGGAACCATTGCTAATGTTGGTCCTGCCAAGTGTGGAATAAAAGATTCAAGCCGATTCTTGCTGGCAGGCAGCAGTTCCGTGTGAAGTCAGTGCAAGAGTTAAAAAGAAAGCAATACTTTTCACTGGCTTTAAATTCAATTGAAAAGATGTGGTATTTTATTTTCAAATGAGCTTCTGCTTTCCAAACACATGAGCAAAAGCAGCTTAAAGAGAACAAAAGAGCTGAAGAAAAACAACAGCATCTATCTGAGCTTAATCTAAAAGCAATGGAGACAAATGCATAATCGAGGCTTTATTCTTAATCATTTACCTATCACCTACCAAAAAAGTTACTGCATGGGCTCATTAAATGCCTATCACTGCAGCCAGCAAAGAATTCTCCTAATATTGCCCCTACATTTGACGTGCAAAAGGGACGAGTCACCAAAAAGCCTCCTTTAAAATATTCCATGCAAAAGCTATTGAAACAGTTTTGCCATTAATTCTGATGAGCATTAAGTCGTAGCCTGAGCCTGCTTCAAACTGTCAGCAGCAGCCAGAGCTGCAGCCCCTCGCCTGCACACGGGTGGCTGCTTATTTCTGCCCTACTGCAGGAGGCAGGTGAGACCAGCCTGGAGCAAAGCAAGCCCTGCCAGCAGCCTGGCCAGACCCTGGGATGACACAAAGGAAATACCCTGGCTCCGTTATGGGGAGCTGCATATGCAGTTGCACTCCGCCCCAACGAGCTTGCTTAATTCACAGGCAGGCAGTAGAGTTTACACCACACAGGCAGCCAAACTCAGTGCTTGTGTAAGCGGGTGCAGCACCATTCTAGAGGATGAAGCTCAGCTGACTGGTTTTCACTGGGCTGTACTCCTAGCAAAGCTGAGCTAATCCTTTAGTGCCTGTTCAATCCTACTGGAGTGCTATGCTGGGGTACGTCCAACTCACTGTATGTTGTTTTCCTTCTCAGAGGTGATCCGGACAAGTGTGACATCTGGGGGAACACTCCTCTGCACCACGCTGCTGGCAATGGTCACATCCACTGTGTTTCTTTTCTGATCAGCTTCGGTGCCAATATCTTTGCTCTGGACAACGACCTCCGCACGCCCCTGGAGGTGGCCGCCAGCAGAGACCGCAATGAATGTGTCAGTATCCTGGACAAAGCTGCCACCGAGCAGAACATGCTGAACCCAAAGAAGGTCTCCAAACTCAAAGCTCAGGCCCAGAGGAATGTGGAGAAACAAATCAAGGAATGTGAGAAGCGCCAAGAGAAACACCAGTATGAAATGAACCGGAATTATATGAAAGAAAAAGTTGGCACAGTAAACTCTTCTGGAGGGACGCACTCCAGAGTAAAGTTGCCTAGTCTCTTTGCTTCAAATACAGTAAGTTCTTTCTCCAAAAATCTGAAAGATACCTTCAAATTGAAAGCAAAAAAGACAGCTGACAGCACAAGAAGCCAGGAAACACAAAGCAATGATGAAGAGCATGGTATGGGTAGGAGAACTGTGATGCATTTGTTCGATGAGAAAGAGGAGGATGAATTACTGAATGACCTTGGAGAGAAAAACTTCTCTGATAATGACAGTCAGCTCTCCATTTTCCAGCGGCCAGGTCTCGGCAAGATTGTATTTGGAAGAAATTTGGCTGCAAATGTAGATCCTGGAACTGTGTCTTCTGATAAAGAAGGTATAAGCTTTAAAATGTCCAGTGAGCTCTTTCACTATGAAAATGCTGAGAACGGCAAGGAAGATGATGCTGAAAATGGTCCCGATATCCCTTGGCATGAGGAAGAAGTCATTTGGGATGACGGGGAAGCAGACAACACGCCCCTTGAGGTATTTCTGGCATCACAGATGCTGGATGAGTTTCTTCCAGTCTTCATGAGGGAAAAAATTGATTTAGATGCCTTGATGCTATGTTCTGATCAAGATCTACAGAGCATTCAGATGGAGCTTGGGCCAAGAAAGAAAGTCCTGAATGCTGTGAACAAAAGAAAAGAGGCGTTCAAGAACCCTGGAAAGGCTGTAGATACTCGCTTATAAATTAACATACCTGTTGCTGTAACTTGCACACTGATTCATTTTCTTTTCCTCTTTCCAAAGAGCAGGCAAATCTTTTTGGATGTCCGCTAAAGCAAAAGGCAGAGAGGCTACCAATTGCTTTAGAAAGTACAGCAAGGACAAAGATTTTTCTCTCTGGATAGAGGGCTGTGGTGAACAGAATATTAATTCAAGCATATTCTGCCAAAAAGAATGTGAAGGTAAAAACAAAAGCTATAGATTTAAAGATTTTTCTCCCCAAACTGCTCATGGGGATTGGATTTTTTTTGGTCTGAATAACTTAAAATATTAGTGAAGGCCAGCCACAGTGAATTCCTTAATAAAGCCCTTCCTTTCTTCTCCAAAACCACAACACAAAGAGTATTCTCAAAGCTTGAGAGCTTTGAGTTTTCTCCATTCGCTTCTGTCAGATTGCTACAAACCACTCTTCCTGGCGCTGATGATATGTTAGAAATAGCACCTGAATCTTGATTTCAGCTGTGGTTTATTGACTTTAATAACCTCTGAAAAAATGTAAATAAGACTAATTTACAGCAAGTTGTGTGTTCTTGTCAGTGAAGTGTTTTGCTACTGTATTGATATTAATTTAAAAATACATGAAGTTATCTCACTGAGATGTTCAGTGAGAGTTCTACATTCTTTTGTCTTGTCTCATTAAACTGGACCCAGTTGCCAGTACCCATGGTGTCCTAATGGGCATCGAGACTGCAATACTTTTACCTACAAGATGCTGAGGTTTTATTTTCAACATTTCTGATCTGTTTTGTTACATCTTCAGCTTGGCTCCTCCAGGGTGCATTGTCCATACAAAGTCCCAGAAACCAGGATCCTTATCACACACAGCATTTTCTGTTGGTTGCTGTCAGCCTTAGCCTGAAAACTGCATGTAACTGGGGACACACACACTTAGCTCATGAAAAGAGAGAGAAATTGAGACTGCTGCTGTGGAGGCTCCTGTTCTGTACAGTCTGACTGGAGGCATTCACAGCAGGGTTCCCTTCATCTCTCTCGGGCCTGTTCCCTTGGGAAGCCAGCACCATCTGACATGAATTAATCGCTCCTGTTGAGTTTTATGATCTAATAAGGTGTTTGTAGCAGCCACGCTCTGGCTAAGATCACAGATTTTAGATGCACATTTATTAGCAGATCATCTATCTTTCAATATCTTTTTGCAGCTTTCCATCAGTCAGCTATGATTTTTCCCTTAGGGATATACTGCATTTTTGGACATTAATCTGAGTTAATGATCTATTTTTTCATGCTTCCTTCTTTCCAGATCTTCTTGTCACTTTAATTTGCATATTATAGTTCCTTTTCTTGGCTGGACTTTACACTGCGTTCTTCCCTCCTTGGATTCCTGTACTTCAGCAGGTTGACATTTTCTTCTACTAAGCAGTTACATCAAAGTCCTGTTTTGTGCAACCTTAAATAATTGCTGTGCTCAGCACAGTAATTAAATCAGACAGCATCTCCCCCAGACTCTTTGTTATTAACCTGCTGAGTTGTTTTCATTTTGGCTAAGGAACTCCCAACTGTTTAACAAAGCAAGAAGGTACTGATGAATCTCACATATTTGAAGGCTGATGAGTGGATTTTGAAGGGTCAAATCCTACAATTCTCAATCACATAACTGATGTAAAAGTGCAGGGCACTTTGCTTGTCTAGGTCTGTAATCCTCCTTCCCCATCCTGGCGAAGCAGATGATTCCCATTCCTCCTAGCAGCCACAGAAGCAGTGAGCCCAGCCTCATCACTCCCCCTATCTTTCCCCCCCTGCAGCTGCAGTTGCTGAATTCTACCACCCTTAACATAAAGGGTTGAGACTAGGTCTATGCTGCTCTCGTGACTTCCCCCTAGTGCAAAGTGGTGATCATACTGGACCATTTCAGGCCAGATTTTAAATAACTGGGTTAGACCCACTTATCCAGGAAACACTTTCAAATATTCTGCTAAACAAGCAAGTGCCTGTCACTGATGGGAGCCAAACGTAGGTAGGAAAGAAGGGACCTGGAGACATCACACCTTCGGGAGAATCAGGCCCCAAATGTCTCTGAATTGCACCAAGAATCTGCCTCTTCGCACACGCATCTGTAAATCGGACTGACTGCTGCAGCCTGACAACCAGAGATAGTGACAGGGACTATCTGCACATAGATGGATTGACTCAGGAGACACAAGCACCCACTGTACGTCCCTGGGTACTCGCAGTGATTCTGTGGAGCTGTCAGATACAGCACAGGATCTATAGGAACCTTTTGTCCTTCTGGAGCTGCATCTAAATACTGATTAAGAAGCCTCACAGCATCCCACATGACACTTATTTTTATGCAACTGAATCAACCCCAATATATATACCCTTTTAAAATAAATTTAAAAAAAACCAAAAATACAGGCAATAGTGCTAGTCCTTTTCTCACAGGGTGGTCCTGGAAATTGGCCTGTAGTACAAAGCAGTCATGTGGAACAATTGAGGGAAAGATAATAAAAGGGAATGCTCATATTTCAGTTTTTTCCACTCATGTGTTTCGCTGTTCTCCAACTTTTTTCACCAACTTCGTTTCTTTTATAATTTGAAAGTATTTAAACTAGTGAATCCTAGATCTGACTCCTTAGTAACATTTATATAGCGCAGTTCAGTTGGAGAGACTGTCTCACATGTGTGATCTTATAGCCCAATCCAAACTCAAATCATAAAACCATAGAATCTCACATGATCACAGCCCTGCCAACTACAAGATTTTCCTTCCTTAAGGATTTAATACCCTGCACTGGAGAGATATCAAGAGGAAGGAATGTGCAGCACTGGACAACTGCAAAGCTGAGTATCAAAGTGGAGCAGTGCAGTCTCAGTTCATTTTCTCTTTTACATTCAGTGATCACATTTACTGGGAGAGTAGTCACTGTGACAACTTGAATACTTTCTTCCTCATCTTCAAAAGAAAAAAACAACCAAAAACCAACCCCAAAACAAAAGTAACAGACAACAAAATGAAAGTCAAAGAAAAACAGCAGTATCTATTTAATTTTAACAAATGCAAGTTACACAATTTCTTCAAAGTCTGTTTTGTAAGAGAAGGAAACATGGAAATTAAGGCTATTATTTCCTCTCAAAAAAAATCTACAGACAGCATCCAAGCAACTCCCATTGTAATTGAATCGAATCCTCTTGATGAATTCCAAGGTACAACACTGAAGCCAGGCTCCGAGAACCTCCTATTGCCAAGCTGAGAACACTGTTTTCAGCACCAGTTTTTTGGACTGGTTCCGTCCACTTTTAAAGTGCATAGTCTGTACAAGAGTACATGTGAAAATAAGCTGTATTTGTCTTCTTCCCAAACACTATGTCTCCCTTCAAACTACAACCTTGTTTTACACAGGCATAGAATTGGGATAATATTGTCATAAATAGTGCAAGCTTCCATACAGTTCTTGAATTACGGACCATCAATAGCTGTCACGTTTGTTTCAAGCTAGTGGAGTTCTCTATCGCTGAAGTAACAGGGTAAGTCAACACATACATTTCAGAACACTTGAGAAATGACATAAAAAAGTGTAAAAACAGAAGGGTAATTTTGCTACAATTAAACAATGCAAAAGCTAATACAGAAATTTCTGTTCATGTTTCTGCTGATATAAACAAGATCAATGGAGTTAGATTTCTATCCACACATCCTTTGGCCCTGTTCACTTACTGGTCTGGTAGACTTCCATGCTAAAACTGTGCAAATTACACACTCTGCCACTTACTCTTTCCAACTAGTTTACACCAGGCTTATAGTTTGGGGTATTATTTACATCACACCTGCACTGTACTCATTAACCTCTTCTATACTTACTCATGCACCATCAAAGACTTTAACACTAACTGCTTCTGAACCTCTTTCCTGTTGCTCCGTTGTATTCTACCAGCATCATTATAAAATTACCATGTCATTTAATCCTTCCACAGAATTATCATGCACTTAACAGCCTGCAAGAAATACTATGTAAGTAGAAACAAAATTTCATAAGGCACAACTTTAGCCTGAGATAGGAATTTGTTTCCAGGGCAACAGCTATTTTTCAGCAGATGCTCAATCTTTTGTAAGGCAGTTGCATAACAGCACAAAACTGGAACTCTTCCTTATGTAGAGCATCACTGGGTTCCTCCGCCAAGAGAGGATCATAGAAATTCCTGCCCCAGCTAATACCCGCTGGGATAAAAGAACAATTACCAATTGATGCATAGGACAGCCAAGCTGAAACTATTTGCCTGAATACTTGAAGTTTATCCTACTGAAATCAGTTTGCACAGTTCCAACCTTTAAGAAGCTTAGAAAACGACCTTACAAACACCATAGACTAATAACAAAATCTCCCCACAGAATATACATAAAAGTTAAATCAAAACACATTTTAGTGTTCACATTTTGGATGACTCCTGGCAATATAAAGATGGCAATATTCCACCCAGGAATGTACTAAGGGAGGTACTGAGTACAGTTTCGTCCCAGTTAAGATCTATATAACATTAGCTCTGATTTTTTGCACTCTAAGTGCACTCTTTCTGACCCAGGTCTTTTATAAAAAGAGACAGAAGTCTAACCGTATGGAGGCATCATCTTTTACACAAACTCTCACTCAGGAGTGCACTCTTACATGAAAATCCATTTGGTCTGAGGGGAGGAAAGGGGGATTGTGAGGGCTGAAAGTAAGGATGGTGACCTCCAGACCCCAGTCCAAGTTGAAAGGGAAGGGGTGTCCAGGAGTCAGGGGTGGGCTGTGTTCTCAGGGGAGACTAGGTTACCGTCAGTGCAGCACTGAGACCCATAGTTGCATTTAAAGTACCATCACAGGTAAAGATGATGCCAAACGGATGTATTTTACTCCAGTATGAATTACCTCTCTAAAAACATGAAATCTACCCACAGAGTTCTGCTACATTAATAATTAGGAAGGAAAGGCATTGATTCCAGAATTGTACCAAAATAAGTAAAATTACCC